GAATGCATTTGCCCATTCTCTCCTTGAATAAACTAAGAATGGTTTAAGAATGACCAAACCACACAGTATCAACAACAAACCCATTTTCGTTATACTTGGTGAAGTAAATATTCAATAAAATAATTTTAAAAACTGAAAACATAAATGAACCTCATAAAAAACAAACATAATATGAACATGATTTCTTTATCTAAAGTCTTCCTACGGAACCAGGAAGAATACAGATCAGCAAACATAGTACTTAGTCAGCTGTGTTTTGGAATTTAAAGTTACAAAGATAATTTATAGAACTTAAAAAGTTCACCCCTAAACTTAATATAAACAAATACCTGTGAAAGACTGGGTTCTCACACAGGCAAATGAAAGAGATGTGAAAATTTAAAAAACACTCACAAAAATTCAAAATAAAAGAGAATTTAACACAAAACAAATCATTATATTTCTCAAATTAAATAGAAGTAGGAGTTCAATATGTCATGATGCTGATTTTCCTAATTTAATAGTATGTTACTTATATTTTAGTTATTTTCTTGATTCTTTTCTTGAGCTAGTCAGGAGATTTGCTTAGGTCTAGAGTCTCACACACACATATATTACCTATAGTTGTATAATTTCTAGACAAACTGAATAGGTCCAAGATAAAATGTTAAGTCAAATACTGACTTTTGATCTTTTTTAAATACGGTCATGGTATGAGGAAGCAGATAAAAACGTTCTTATTCAACACAGTAAAGAAAAGAAGCCACTCATTTTTGTTATGGTGTTAAAGTAATTTGACAAACAGTCTACACGAAGTTTCATTTAAGCCCCAGGGGAGAAGTGTAATAGGTAGTTGCCTTTTAAATTGACCCATCTTCCTTTTTTCAGGTTTCCTATGAAGATGTGGATCGCTTAAAAGGATTGGCAGTTACTGAAAACATGAGGGTCCCTCACTTCCTACAGGACCATGGCCGATACATGGAACACTTGGAGAAGATCATGGAAGTGAATGAACTGAGCGACAGGGAACTGAGAGATCTCATATATTAATTAGCGTTCTTGCAAACCCGGCTAACCTGTACCTCTGTGTATAGTACCAATTAGGTGCACTTAGCACAAGCAGATTTATAAAAGAATGACTGTTTACATGAGTTTTCTGAAGAATGATCTGCAGTATTCAGCTGAATCTTTAGGTTAAGTACAAACCTTAAATTCTTTCCCTAAAATGTTTCCACAGGCTGCAAGGGAAAGTTACCTGTTTTCATCTAAGTCAGATGAAAATACTACTGCTAAGTGTTTTTGAAGAATCTTGGTCAAACTGAGTGATAACCTTCTGCCCGAGCACCAAGACCAGCTTCACCTAGAGATTGAATTCCAGTGCTATTCCAACTCCAAGGTTATAGTTTATTCGATAAGTATAGTAATTGTTCTCCTTTAAAAATTAGTTTTGTTAATGCCCCCCCAAAAAAACTAGCTATATCTAAGATTCCATATTTCTCTTATGTTAAGTAATGATAAGGGGGGAATAATTTGAAAAGTCTTCATTAGTTCTTTATTTTACAGATTATTATTTCACCCTACCAGTTTATAGGAACTAAATTAGAGAATTATCTCATTTTGTCCAGTTATCCCTTCACTAAACTCTGTTTCATTTGCTGAAACACAATTGTACCACTTCAAATTTAACCAAGTTTTAAGTTAAACTTTCCTTCTCTATTCCTTTATATAAATGGTAAGTATAAGTTCCAGAGAAGTTTGTCTACATAAATTAAAAAGTAGTTGGGGAAGAGAGGAGCTACTCATTTTTTTATTAAGTGGATCAACAAACAGGATGGATAGACTGATCTACTTCATGTACGAGCTGCATGTTAACTGGGTAGCACCTACAGCAAACTTGACCATGCTCAGGAAAATGAAATTTCTGGACATTGCCCTTGATAAACTGGCCTTGTGATATTGGCTCAGTCTGATTTTCAAAATCTTTTGAGTCCATCAACCCAATAATGACAGAGTTTGAATTTCAAAAATGAGATTTTTGTTTTGCTACCATTCTCCTGCTAAAAGCTTATACACCTAGCTTTATAATTTATCACTTTTGATATATAATTGCATATATATATATGTATACTTGTGATGAAATGGTTCTTTATACAATGTATTTTGATGAGAAAGAATACTGCCATAAACACCCCATTCAAAATTGCTACTGTAATTTCTATCCAAAGCTATCTGAGAGTTCCTCTTTACCTCAATTCAGGCTTAAATATGGTGCTAACACTGGTAGGTGTATACTGCAAAGCCTGGTCCACATTTATGCTAGGAAATGATTGTAGGAACTCTTTTGCAGGCTAGGTTATGTGGTTNCTTTTTGTTTTCCGATGATCTTAGGCGACCCCTGTGAAAGGGTCTTTCGACCCCCAAAGGGGTCGCGACCCACAGGTTGAGAACCGCTGGTAAAGGGAAGCCACTAGTCTCCACACTGCCCTGGAACTTCCAAAGACCTTATATTTTGTGTTACAAAGATATAGCAGTTAAATAAAAATAAACATGGCAAATTAGAAATTTTTTTTTGTACAGGACAGATTCCTGCAGTAAAGGGAATGAATGGGTTGGTATCTAACTACTTAGTAATATTTTTAAACATCAGAAAGTAAAAACTATTCTGGTTCCTCCAGGGTGTTTCAGTAAAGACCAGGTGTACCTGGATGGCATCCTGCAGATCCTCCGGTACAGACAGACCATTGACTTTCATCTACTGACGGCCCTGGGGAAGGTGAGTGAGACCGACGGCACACAGTCCCCAAGCGCACCATGTCAGCATCTCCCCCAGCTCAACTCAATGATGAAATAAGACTCAGCTTCCAACTGTTCTTACTTTATTGCTGGATTAAGCTTCCTTTATGTGATAACAGAACGGAAGAAATGTGGCTCTGTCATAGAAGCAAATTGCAAAGTTTTTTTGTGGACAATAAAGAGATAGATAAGGAAATAGGACATTTGGGAATACATTGTATAGTGTTTATTTTTATATACATCTTTTTCTAAAGCATTTGAAAGTATGCTGTAAATATAACACTCCCACCCTTATTACATTTGCATGTATTTTCCAAGAATAAGGATATTCTCTGACATATGATTTTCTCTTCTTTTTCCAGTTCCACTTACTTTATTTTTTTATTTTTTAAATTAAATTTATTGGGGTAACATTGGTTAACATTATATAATTTTGAGATATACAACTTTATACTTCATACACATATACTTCATGTGTGCTCACCACCCAAAATCTAGTCTGTCACCACATATATGACTTCCTTTACCCTTTTCATCTTCTCCCCAAACCCCCATCCCCCTGGTAGCCACCATTCTGTTGTATCTTTTTTTGTTTTTTATTCCACATATGAGTGAAATTATACAGTTCTTGTCCGTTTCCAGCTGACTTATTTCACTTTGCATGATATTCTCAAGAACCATCCATGTTGTTGTAAATGGCAATGTTTCATCTTTTTCTATGGCTGAATATATTCCATTGTGTGTGTGTGTGTGTGTGTGTGTGTGTGTGTGTGTGTGTGTGTGTGTATCACATTTTCTTTATCCAGTCACCCATCACAGGAAACTTAGATTGTTTCCATGTCTTGGCTACTGTGAATAATGCTGCAATAACATAGGGGTATATAACTGTCTTTATGAATAAATGTTTTCAAATTTTTCAGGTAGATACCCAGAAGAGGTATTGCTGGGTCATATTGTAGCTCTATTCTTAATTTTTTTAGTATCCTCCACACTGTTTTCCATATGGCTGCACCAATTTACGTTCCTACCTGTAGTGTACGAGGGTTCCCTTTTCTCCACATTCTCTCCAACACTTGTTATTTCTTGTCTTATTGATAATAGCCATTCTAACAGGTGTGAGGTGGTGTCTCATTTGCATTTCCCTAATATCTAGTGATGTTGAGCATCTTTTCATATATCTGTTGGCCATCTCTATGCCTTCCTTGGAAAAGTGTCTATTCAGGTGCTGTGCCTATTTTTTAATCAGATTGTTTTGTTTTTATGTTGTTGAATTGTATGAGTTCTTTATATATGTTGGATATTAGCCCCTTATTGGAAGTATCGTTTACAAATCTTTTCCCATTTGGTTGGTTGCCTTTTTGTTTCATTGATGGTTTCTTTTGTTGTACAGAAGCTTTTTAGTTTGATGTAGTTCCATTCATTTATTTTTGCTTTTACTGCCTTTGGAGTCAAGTTCACAAAACCCACTCTGAGACCAAGGTCTATAAGTTTGGTGCCTATTTTCTTTTTTTCCTTCTATGTATTTTATTATTTCAGGTCTTATATTCAAGTCTTTAGTCTCTTTTAATCTATAACAGCCCCCAAATAGTCTTGATTATCACATTGTTTCCTTGTAACTAGATTCAGGTTTAACATTTTTGCCAAGAATATGACATAAGTGAGTTGTTTATTTTCCATTGCATCATATTAGAAGGCACATAATGTCATTTTGTTTCATTATTGGTGGCGCTGTGTTTGATCACCTGGGTAAGTTAGTTACTGCCACTTCTCTCCATTGCAAAGATACCTTTCCCCCAGCATTGAATTAATAAGTAACCCATGGGGTGTTACCTGTGAATGTCCTGTTCCTTAACAACATTTCAAGGAATGGTTTTAACATCCACTAATGATCTTTGTGCAAATCAGTTAGTTACTACACTGGTGGTAGCAAAATAGAGAACTTTGAATTCTGTTACATTTCACTACCCCTTTTTTGTAGTATTATGTACTTATTTTGTTTTATTTTTTTTTCTATTCAACTCTTCCAGTGGCTGCTCCAGTGTTTTTTAAACATCTCCATGTTTTCTGGCAAAGTAAAATGTTCTGGGCTCATCTTATACTTTTCCTACCCAAATCTG